GATTTTAACAGTAATGTTTTGGTCATTGCATTTGCACTTTCATGGACAACTTTTAATTTGTTCAGCAAGACATCTTGGAACTCAATCTTCTGTTGGATCGTGGGGAAAACAAGACACCAGGAGGAAATTGTGAGTTGCTTCATTCTCCGAGGAGGAAGGAAGAAGCGATTAATTATCCTTTTCATATAGGGCTGTATTAAACAACATGTGGAACTGTACAAATATTATACCAAAAATATTGTTCAGAAAAGGTGGGAATGCACAAGCAACACAAGAATGCTGTTCCTGCACCTGTCAGTCATCTCCAAGAAACTGAAGCTTTGAGAGTCTCAGTGGAGGGGCTTAGATCAGTACATCTTTATTGGGTCCATGCATCCTCATTTCCTTCGCACTCCTGTCCTTTGTGTTTTATTTAAACCTCTACAGCACACTTAATGCAACTTTTTAAATCTGCAGGTTTTTAATACATCCCGTGGGAACTTACAGGAGGGGTTTGGTGTATGAGAGACACGGGTATTGCATGAGGAATGGAGAGAGCAGCTTAAGCAAGTTTTACACTTTTTTTTTTTTGGTATTTTTACTAGAACCTGCAAACATATCAACTGTCATGTACTTTCTCTCATATTCAGCACTTTATTTTCTAGCCTTACCTTCATGTACTATTGTTTTAATTAAGTTCTCAAATAATTTGTAAAACATGTAGCTTTTTCTCTTATGTACTTGTCAAACCTCTTGTCATTTTGCAGTCACGTACATATGTTGCCTGGACATTTTATGCCACCTAAAGATCAGTGGTGCTGCATTCTGGCCAGTAAATTTCTTATTTTGGCTACTTCATCAAAATCTGGGCAGTTTCTGTATATATAGAAGGTAGAAATGGAAAATGAGAAAAAAATATTTGAAAGGGAATATATTGATTAATTACTAAATATTTTATTCACAAAGGGTCAATAACTTGGCAAGATAAAATTATTATTTGTATAGTTTTGTCTGAATGAACGAGAAGAGTGTGGATGTATTGTTTGTACATATTGTATATATTAAAGAGATATGTGCATGAACTCAAGAAAAAGAAATGAACAAAGCAAAGCATTAGTGGCTATGGTCTGTAAAATGAAACAAAAACTTTATTTCACTATAAGAAACTTTATTTTAAATGTTCTTTAGAAGAACATTTTTGCTAAAGCATGACTAAATGGCAAAAAAGAGCGACTGTATTTAGACTTAGGAAAAAAAAAGGCAGAGCAACATTACTTTAAAAAAAAAAAAAAAAAAAAAAAAGAAAAAAAGGATATGTTTACATTTGATTTTGGCTACCAGGAGTTTGGTTCAGTTGGGTTTAATTTATGTATTCCTTCCTTCTTTTTTTTTACCCCCGTCTTTTTTTTTTTCTTTTTTCTTTTTTTTTTTTTTTGCCAATGGTGCCAAGTAATGTGAATGCTAATATTGCTTAAGAAAATTAAGTTACTTTTGCAAAGCAGATAATCATAAGAGTACAAAAACCGTATCTAGCTTAACACCATACACTCACTCCAATAAAGAACACTTAGAATGAACATAAAATGAAAAAAAATAAATAAATAGTACGAAAGTAGAAAATATGTTTCACATTTTCATATCTCCTGCTGGAAGTCAGAAAATGTAATAAAAATTGCACAAAAAATTTTAAAAAATTAAGTAAAACTTAAAAAAAAAAAAAGATGCAAACTGATCCTGTAGGGGTGTCATGGTATATTGCTATTTCCACATAGTGAGGAGCCAAAGAAATTAGATTTTTTTAAAATTGAGCTACTAATTTAAAACTGTCACAGATTCTCAACAATGGGAACCAGTTCTGATCTTCATTACACAGGAATGTAAGGGAAGAAACTCCTGAAGTCCGTGTCATTACTTGTGGGTCACGTACATGTGTCTGAGATCAGAAACTGCTCCTGTCTGTTTGTCTCGCTCGTGGCAGTTTAAAATTTCTGAATGAACTTGTGTAAATTTGAGATTGTTAGTTTTGGAATAGTTGTTCTTGCTTGATCCCGGCCACCAACTGCAATGTTTAAACGCAAGGCTTGTTGTGAAGCCAAAAAATATTCACACATAGGAAGCTTTGAAACTGGTGTCTTTAAAAGAAGAGTAAAAACAAAGATTGTGGCAAAAAAACTGGGGTCAGTGCTCTTGGTGCCTTTTCTATAATTGTACCTGTTTTTAATTACTTCTTTTCACTGCCAGCATTGAATTACAGTAGATGTGCTATAGCTCATTATCAGAATTCTCTTGTACATTTCTGAACTGCTGCTTTATGACCTGATTCAATTTTAAAAAAAGGGAAAAAAAGCAAAACAAATGGCCTGGCGCTCGCACTGTGCCTGTGGGCAGCCTCGTAGCCTGATTTACTGTCTGCAATTGGAACCTTGACCATTAGATTTTCCTCTCACGCCAAAACAGAACAGGAGACGCTGAAGAATCTCCTTTGGAACGAATTGGAAATGCTCTGTATTAGTACTGGAAGAACTCTTGACATTTTGAAACTGAAATATTGCACCCATTAACCAATACGTGACAATATAGAATTGATCTGTTCCTAACAAGAGTAGTGACCTCAGTGGAAACGTTTTAACTCCTTGTCTTTACAGCAAACGATTCAGTAATATACAGAGCTATTTCAAATTACTCTTCCAGATCCATGGGCCTGGTGGTGTATCTACTAATCCAGATCCTGCTTCAGCCAAACGTTTAAGGCTGTGCTGGCTGTGAAGCGTGCAGGCAGTTGTGCAGCACAGCTGCAGGACTCCTGGCACGCCTGCAGCCAGGGCAGCTCCCAAGTGCTTTGTTGTGTCGGGCCGTAACCCTCAGTGTGTCCCTGCGGAGGGAGCAGCACTCCCCCGCAGTGAAGTGATTCTTCGAACCCTCTTCTTGGTTGTGGAACTTAACATTTTCACCTAAGATAAGTAAGTGCAGCTTTCTAGGAAAATTCAAATTCCCAAGTGCCAGGAGCCAGATCTTCTGTCTTCTGAGAATAGAATCGCTCCTTTGTGAAACACATTCGACAGCAGTAATACTGTGTGAAAGAAATACAGAATATAACATGAACCCCCTCTCTGGTTGCACGCTTATGGCAGTTCCACACAATAGCTGGTGCCCAATGGGGGGTCCCCAAGACTTGCATGTAAAACTAGTATAGATGTCTTCTCTTTTGTAAGTTTTATTTTTGTAACTGTGCATGTAAAGCATCACTGAATCAATGGATCTGTTGAAGAACTCAGCTGCTGGAACCATGCAAAATGTTTTGAATTGCCCTTAAAATATGGAAAATGTTTTCTGAATGCTTTATATTCTTTCTGCTGTAAATTAAAAAAGAAAATTTCCCCATACAAAGTGTCTGCCTTCTTCTGAACACATCTCTCCTTCTGAACACGTCTCTTCCATCCTACTTTGAGAGCAAAGTAGTCCTTTAGTTACTCTAAGAAACCAGAAAAAAAAAGTTTCTACACAACCTGCTGGTGAGAATTCTGCATCTGATTTCTTAGGGGTTACGATGTGACAGTCCCCAGCCTGCCCGTGCAGGTGCAGCCCCCAGAGCTTTGTTTGCAGTTCCTCTTCAGTGGGCAGTCACTTCCAGGGTTTTTGGTGAGAAACCATATAGAGCTGGAATCAAAATGCTTAATCCTGCAGTGGACACGAGGCAGAGTCCAACGGCGGAATTCAAGAGGGCTGCTGATGCAGAAACTCAGAGGTCACATTTGATGATACAATTAACTGAGACACAATAACTACTGCACTAATCAAATATGTCACTTACATGAGCTGGTCCTCGAGAACAAACCTTGTACCAGACTACATGGCCAGCCCAGCAGGCAAGACCTGAAAGCAGGTTTAATAATTAATAAATTAATCTGGTTATCAGAGACCGTGTTAGTGCCATTATGAGTAAGCTCTTCTGAAACCCAGCTCCACAACTGAAGACGAGATTTCAATAAGAGAGTTTCTTCTTGCAGAGAAAGTTTAATTATGTTTCTGTTTTAGAATAAATCAGCATTTAACTCTCCAAATCGCTCCCATTTTTCCATCTTACATGGCTGTTAATTGTTGGGTCCTTCCCCGTCGTGGCAGGTTGGCCCGGTGCTGAAGGAAGGCACCTCCTCCCTTATCCCGGGGCCGTGGCGGGAGAGAACTGGAAGACCAAACATGAGGGGAAAAATGCCCGGGGTGAGATAAAGTTTAATAAGGGGGATAAAGAAAAGATAACTCAGCACGTGGTGCGAAGGCCGCCGGTGCCTCGCTCCCCCCGGTGCCCCGCCGGGGCCGGTGTTCCCTGGCGGAGCAGCCCCGGGGCTCCTACGGGAGCGCTGCCAGCCGCGCCGAGCCCCGGCGGGTGACCGGCAGAGCGGCTGCTCCGGTCACCGACAGCACCGTGCGGCCGCCGGGGAGCAGCGAGCGGCTCCGGCCCCGCCGGGAGCGGGCAGCGGGAGCGGGGATCCCGCCGGGCACCCCGGGAGCCAGGGCGGGAACAAGGACAAGGACAAGGATAAACACAAGGACAAGGACAAGGGCAAGGATAAAGTCAAGGACAAACAGACAAGGATAAATAAAGACAAAGACAGAGACAAGGGCAGTGATAAGGACAAGGACACACACCCCCACCCGTGCGCTGCACGGAGCGCGCGGACACGAGTGGCAGCGCCACGGAATGCGCGTGGCCGTGGCCGTGGCTGTGTGTGGGCACGAGACTGCCCACGCCTGTCTGTCCGTGTGCCTGAGTCTCCGTGACGCCGGGTGTCCGTGCCCGTGTCAGCGTGTCTGTCTGTCCATGTCTGTCTGTCCGTATGTCTGTGTCCCCGTGTCTGTGTCCCCATGTCTGTGCCCGTGTGCCCGTGTGTCCGTGTGTCCGTGCTCGGCCGCTCTCTCCGTTCCCGTTCCCGGGCAGGGCCGACACAGCGCCCCCCAGCGGCCGCAGCCCCCGCCCGCCGCCTGCGGGGGCACGGCCCCGGGAGCGGGCGCTGGCCGGGGCTGCGCAGGCCCGGCTGTCCCGCCAGCCCCGGGCGCGGCTCCGAGCGGGGCCCGCCCTGCCGGGACAGCCCTGCCGGGCACCGGGGCGTTGCTCCGTTTGGAAGCTCGCAGGAAGCGCTGTCATTTCCGAGGCTTTCACCTGGGACTGGCACTGAAGCGGCTCCGAAGGGCGGCGGCGGCGCCGAAACTGACACTGAGCCGTGCGGGGCCGGCTCTGAGCCTTGCCCTGGCTCCCGCCGTGTGCTGTACTCGTTACGTGCAAGTTAAAATCCAATGTACAAGTGTGTACACACAGGAAACAGTCGGAGTTGGCTGTTTGGAGCGCCAGGATGCAAAAAACAAACATCTGATGTGAAAGAAGCAAGAACATGGAAGAGGAAATTGAGTGCTGATAGTTCTAGAGATACACATTAAAAACTGGCTGGATGGTGAAAAGGTAGTGAGGAGTATTTACAGAAGCTGTTGTGTCCATTTTAAAAATGCAGAGTAGCTGATAAAAAGAACTCTGTTACAAATTCAAAGCTGACCAAAGGTAATACTTTTTCCTTCTGGTGCTTTCTCTTGCTCCATATCAACCATTTCAAAAGAATAGAGAAGCATCGCTGGAAAATCACATCGTTAGAATAAGTATTAATATTTTTATTTATTTTTTTGTAAACTACTGAGCCCACACTGCTCACTCTTTGAGGCCTCTGGAGCATTGTTGGAGCTGTCCCCTGCCTCATTGCCAGGCGTGGTGTTAGCAAGCCACTGCTGCCTCTTAGCACAGCAGCAATTTGTTGACAAGATGTCTGGGACACTGCATGACTTGCACCCACTGTCAGCTGCTAAAACACAATTTCTCCAGTAAGAAACTGCCCTGTGTTTATTACAAGGATACAAGTTCCCAGTTTTCAGATGTGTAATGATGCCTTTCTTTCCTGCAGGTCGGCCAATGTCCCTGGAAGCTCAAACATGGCTGCTGGCAGCAACCGCCGGCTTCAGCAAACTCAGCACCAAGTAGATGAGGTAAAAGTCTGGTCTGGTAGTAGTGTCAACCTCTTCTTGCAGGAAACCTGTGCAGTTAGAAGGGATATCTTTTTCCAAAGCAGTTTTCCCTTCATTATATGAAGGGGAAGCAAAGAGAGGTTGCCAGTATCCAAACATAAGCTGCAGTCTTGGTGCTTGAGGAGTAGACATAAGTAAAGACAAAAAAACCTTTGTTTACAGAGAATAAGCTTTTTTCTTATCAGTAGCCATGGGAGCTGGCTACCAAATGTGATTTTTGTGGAATCCAAAAGCCAGGCTGGCTGGCAAGTATTTCTTGACGTGGTTTACTATCATGTTTATATTCCTCAACTCCTTCTGAAGCAAGTCAGGAATTATTTCCCAGGCTTGAAGGCACGCCAGCACTACTGACTTTTTAAAGTAGCCATTCAGGGCTTCTAGCCACAGGTGGATCTCATAGTTTTCTTTAAGCTTATGGCTGGATGTACTAAAAGGCAATAGCTCCTGCTTCTGAGAAAACATGGAGTACCTTGTGGAGCTGTGTGCTGTCTGTGGTCGTGTTGCACTGTGTGGTCACTTACTGTGAGCACTGAATGCTGCAGGTTGTTGACATCATGAGGGTGAACGTGGACAAGGTCCTGGAGCGGGATCAGAAGCTGTCAGAGCTGGATGACCGAGCTGATGCCCTGCAAGCTGGGGCTTCCCAGTTCGAGACCAGCGCGGCCAAGCTGAAGAGGAAGTACTGGTGGAAGAACTGCAAGGTAACCTTGGCTTGTGTGCTTGCACTGCGCCTGGAACACTGTCACACTTTGTGTCTCAGAAGGCAGAAAGCGTTTAGCCAATGGTTTTTAAGTCACAGCATCTAGTTTTTAAAGCATGGCATCACTTTTTGAAGTAACAAGCAGCTGTGTTACTGGCCGTGCTGCCCTAGGCAGGATCTTGTCTGATGATGGCCAGAGGGGAAGCATGCCAGTAATCTGAGGCTTTGAGAAACAAGAGGAAAAGGCTAAAAATGCATAGCTTGAATTAATGTGTGGGAAGCACTAGAAAGTGGAAGAAGCTCACCCAGACTCCTGTACTTGTAGCTGTTGCCAAAAGTTGGAATCATCTTTGGTGAGTAACAGAACAGCTTGTGCATTCACTTGGGACAGGCTTTATGTGGAGAAAACCATATTGCTGTGTTTGCCTGTGTGCATGGCCTGCCATCTCTGAGTGCTAGCAGTGGATTGAGCTTGCTGACTGAAGAACCTTTGCTTGCCACGTTAGATCTGACACACAGAGCTGAAAGTCCCTTGCAGGGGCTGTTTTCCTGTACCCTGAGGGGCACTTGGTGCTGTTGCATGGTGTGGAGTAAGTGTTGTATGTCTTTTTTTTCACAGATGTGGGCAATATTGATAGGTGTTGTTGTCATTATCATCATCATCATTATTGGTAAGTTGGACCAAAACGGGGATTTCTGCTAGATTTGGAATGGACAGTGTTAATCTGCTGATTAATACAGTTTAAGCAAAGGCAGGGTGCTCAGATGGAAGTATATCCAACATGAATTTGAAACAGCAGTGATGGATTTAACAGCAATTGCATGCAGTGAGTGGCAGACTGTGATAACCTGGGAGCTCCAGTACTGGAATCTCCACCACCAGTGAGGGTGACAAAGGTGAAAGTGAAAATAGCAAGGGCTGGGAAACCAGGAACAGACCTGGGTTTATTTACAGCTGCCTGCTGCGGAAGTGTAACGTGAGATTCCACACGCTGTCCTTGCCTGAGAACTGTTATCGTCTGCCTTGGCTTCCTGCTTTTTTGTGGCAGTTAGGAGTGCACTGCCCTGCCAGGGAGGCTTTGAGCAGAGCTTTGGCTGCCGGGTGAAGTGAGACTAACGTTGGATTAGGATAGAGAGCCAGGTGTGGGATGGCTCAGTCTTTGAGTCCTCAGGTAATTGCCAAGGGTTTAAGGGGAAGATGAAGTTTTTAAGTTTGTGTTGTAACAGTAACAAACACAGCAGTAACCAGTAACATCTGAGACACAGTCCTGGTGTGCAAGCACAAGGGAAAATACAACTAAGAACACCAACATGGGCAAATTCTTAGATTTAAGGGATTTAAGAGGGATTTATCTCTATTATCTCAGATTCCTAAAAGGCAGGATTGTTACGGTGAGGGACTGAAAGACATCGTCCAACCTTTTTCTTCTTTTTGTAGTCTGGAGTGCGTATTCATGAATTACCAGAAGAAACTCAATTCAACTGAAGGTGCCTTTGAGAATCTTCTTCAGCCTCTCCACTTCAAACCTGCTGCCTTCTCAGCCCGTTTACTGCTGTTTAAAGCAAACCTATTTTGATTATCGAGACGTTAACTAACTTTCCTGGTCGCCTTAAGACACTCCTGTCATTAATTACTAACCAGCAGAGCTCACCGCTCGCACGGTGCCTCCATGGCCGGGCCCGGGCCCCGCCCCCTCGGCCCCGCCCCTCGCCCGACCACGCCCAGAGGCGTGGCCGGCGCCGCACGTGGCGGCGGGGCATGCGCGCGCACGGGGGCCGCGTGCGGCGCCGCGTGAGGGGCGGGGCGGCGCCTCCGCCCGCGCGGGCCCCGCCCCCGGCGCGCGTTTTCCTCCAATAAAGCGGCTCCGACTCCGCCTCCGCCTCCTCCTCTGTCCGCGGGGCGCGGCGCACGTGGCGCGGGTGTGTGGGAGCGGGGCCGCCGCGTGCGCCGCGTTACGTAACGGCGCGGGGCGGGGGCGCGGCCCCTCAGGGCGCTCCCGGCCCGGAGCGGGGACAGCCTGGGGTCGGCGGGAGAGGCGCGGCCTCGGAGGGGCGGGAAGGCCGAGCGGAGGCCGCGGGGCCCTTTCGCGCTGGGCGGCTGCGAGCTGAGGGGGGGAGCGGCGCGGGAGCGCCCCGGTGCCCGCTCGGCTCGGTGGAAGGGGGGGGCACCGCTCCTCCCACCGTCCCGTGAGGCGGCGCGTGCTCTCCCTGCAGCACCGGCGCTCGTAGCGCAGGCCGAGGGTCCGGCCGTGCCCAGGTGCCGCGGCAGCCGATGCCCCCCGTGCTGCGGCGCTCAGCGGATCCGGGATGGACGCGAGCGAGCGCCGAGGCGGCAGCGCGGAGCACGGCGCGGCTCGGGCCTGGGCCGGG